AAGCAACAATTGTACAAAATTTTAAACGATTCTTCGGCACTAAAAAAAAAAAAAAAGATCTCGCGAAACTTTAAAATATGGATGTCTTTGTGTGCGTATGTGTATATACACTTACATACGTGCCCGTGTGTGTGTGTACATATAGAAAACTGGCAAATTATTTATTTACTCAGTCGCCTGCATATTCATTAGCTCTAATTATTTTCTAGTAACGAAAACACCAAAAGCTCGCTAAGAGTCGGACTCCTTCCATTTCGCCTTTGTTCAGCCCTTCACTTGCCTCCTTCGCAGCTCAATCCGAGCCCCTCCAATTCCTAGTGCCAAACAAAGAAACTTTAAACTCATCCTCCCTAATTAAAGGCGCTGGTAAGCAATCCGCAGCGCAGGTACTGGCGAGCCAGACCAGCAGCGCTGCTGCGCGACCCCTCCGCGGGGGAGAACTGCCTCATTTCCAGAGGTGTACAAATGGCCATTGCGCCTAGAAAACAAACAAACAAACAACAACAAATAAACTTTGATACGCCTTGAAGGAATGTTTCGCTGCAGTTTATCTGCAGACGCCGTTTGCCTGTGCTCGGTGCACGGAGAGGGCTTTCAAAGCAGCTGTATTGTGTAATTTCCCTTGGATCTTGGGAGGCTTTACAGGACTTTTTTTTTTCAGAATAATGCTGGGCTGAATCTACACGTTTGCATTTATTCTGCCAAATCCATTCAAAGGAATTGCAATAGCTTATAGCAACAGGTATAGCCCCTCTAGGAGCGCGCCTGTGTGTGGACGTGGTCTTTAGGCGGGTGTTACGTTACTTTCTCTATTTGGTGCTCAAATTAAGCAAAGGACAGAGTTGTCAGCGTTATTGTGAAGTCTTCAGGGCGATGGCATTAGGAGATCCAGAAAGTTAGGCAGTCCGGTGCTAGCCTGCCTCCCAGGGCAGGGGGAACCCAGTGATCATTCCAGGTCGGTGCAAAATATACGAGAAGGTAGACGAGAGGGTATTTTTAGGAAGCGTATCTAAATATACAGTGTAAGAGTGAATGTAAAAAAAAAAAAAAATGTTGTGGGTTGTAGAAGTTATCAAGTGGGATTTGCGGCGCGCTCTCTGCAGGAAACGAAAGCTGCTCCAGTTCAAAGCCACATGCACCAACGTGACATATAAGCCATTAAAATATCATCCTGACGGCTCATTTCTGCTTCATCATACATTCCCTAACTGCTTCCAGAAAGCAAGAAAAGAAGAAATGAAGGATGACCGCCTCGATGGAAGCGCCAAAGAGGTGGTGGGTATTTGCGGCGCGCTCTCTGCAGGAAACGAAAGCTGCTCCAGTTCAAAGCCACATGCACCAACGTGACATATAAGCCATTAAAATATCATCCTGACGGCTCATTTCTGCTTCATCATACATTCCCTAACTGCTTCCAGAAAGCAAGAAAAGAAGAAATGAAGGATGACCGCCTCGATGGAAGCGCCAAAGAGGTGGTGGGTTCTT